TTTTTTTTTTTTTTTTTTTTTTCCCTCTGACCTGACAAATACCATAGTGATGCGGGTTAGAACTGTCACGCTGAAGTAAGATACGTTTTACTGATGTTTTGTGGGAGCCGGGGGGTATTTGCTCCAGCTCCCCCTTTGAGCCTGATGAAGTTTGCTCTTTCCTAACGCCTGCCTGCCTCCCCTCCCCGCTACAGGCGGGCTGACCCCCCCCGGCCAAGCGATGGGTGTTTGACGGGCGCTGGCTTCACCGGGGAGGCTGTGACGTCACCCCGTCCCCTCTGACCTCACGTCAGGCCCGCGGCGCCTCCGTCCTCTGGCACAAATCCGTCTCCCCCGGTGGGTGAGAAACCCAAGGAGAAGCTGCCGCTGCCTCCCCATCCCGAGAAACGCTTCCCCCGCTCCTGTTTGCTGCCGTGCGAAACGGGGGCGAACCGGCAGGATTTGGGGTCAGAGTAAAAATTCACTAAAATCAAAGGCGTTCCCACACCAGATCTCTTAATTTTGGTATCGAGACGGTATCGATCGTTGCTCGATGGCACAAACCGTGAATGCCCGGTACGATCACGCCTTTGAATTTATCCGGGACGGTTGGCTCCGGTGGTTTTGGGACGGCGGCTTTCAGTCCTGGGGGTGGTGCAGCGCGGTTAATGCAGAGTGATTATCGCTCCCTCCTATGAAAAAAATCACTCCCTCCTAAACAATGACATTTTATTAAAAATAAGAGTTGTGCTGCATCCCACCAAGCACCAACTAATTCCTGCAGCCGAACAGCCTTTGCGCTCTCTGGGTTTTTCCTGCCTAACAAACAAGGGCTGTGAGCTGGGAAGGGTCACCCATCCCCTTGGTCACTGCTGAACATTTTCACGTGCAGCACAAGATGTTAACGTTTCAGTTAATTTTTCTCCATCCCATTTTTTTTTTTTTTTTTTCGGTTGTGGTGGGGTCTCCAGGGCAGGCATCCTACATCTCTCCAATTTGGGTGCTGCTGTGTTAAGCGACACGTTTTTCTTTCCCATCTCAGAAGCGTTACTGATGCAGAAACGGAGCTTGTGCGTGGGTTTATAGGGTGACCTGCCCGAGAGCCGTGGGACTGGCCACCGTCCCGGGACACGAGGTTGGTGTTGAGCCCCTTCCGAGGTGACCCTTGATGCCAGATGGATTTGAGCCGGTCTGGAGGTGACCTCGTGCCGGGGCTGATGGACACATCGTGCCACGGCCACCTCTGCCTTGCGGAGAGCTGTGGTCGTGTCCGCTTTTGTATTCTATCTATTTATTTTTCAAAAGCCTGAGCGTTTCTCAGGCGCATTCTGACATGTCCTTATCAGAAGGTCATTGTACAGTTTAAAAAAAAAAAAAAGAGGAAGAGCAGTAGGTGACCGGTGATGTACTGGGGGCAGAATTGTCATTAATTTTGTAAATTTAGCTAAGAATTCCTGGGTATTATATATGTCGTTGTATTAATTTTTAAAAATCTATGTATTTCGCTGCTTGTCATGATAATATACCACCCTCAAAAGCTGCTATGGCTTGAGCTGGAGACAAGACAGTGTTGATTTAAGCTTGGCAAATGCCACCCTGGGAATGGGTGAGAGAGCTGGAGGACGGGCACTTTTTTCCCCCTTCTTCGGCGTGTAAGGTAACAGGGAGCCTGAAGACTCCCAGGCAAGCGCCTGAAAGATATTTGCTTTTAGAGCATTTTATTCCATGCCTAAAAGTACCATCTTGGTAGGCTCACTGTATAGAACAAAGTGAAAGAAGTTCAGAAGTTTCAGAAGAGTAATCTCAGCCCTGCAGTAAAATGATTCTGATTATTGCAGTAAAATGGTTCTAATTATTTACAAGGGCTGAGCCGGATGGCAGCGTTAATTTGACTGTCTGTCTGTTTTAGCTATTAAATAAGTGCACACTCATTGTGGCTGGTGAAATAGCATCACTTGAAATAGCGTTGAGATTTACCATTAAAAAAAAAATAATAATAATCCTGGGAACACGAAGCCGCTGGGGCCAGATCCTGCCAGGGGTGATGAGGGTTAGGCTGAGGCTCAGAGATGGGGGTAAAGGCTTTGGGGTTGTTTGGATCAGAGAAAGGCTTTTTCCCCCTGGAAAAGAGTTTTTAAAATGCTACAAATGTGAGAATCTGAGAAAAGGAGAGGGAAGGATGGGGATTTTTAACTTTGCTACTGAGAAAGACCCGGGGCTGATCGGCAGCTCCTGAGTTTGCTGAGCTGCTCCCCTACAGGAAAATCCAGGGACGGATTTATTCTCACTCACATTTTGGATCCCAGAGCTCCGAGCTGAGTTTTAACACTCCCTGGCTCCGACGCAGGCTCCGCCATAGCAAATAGACATAACCTCGCCGTTCTTTTCTGCTCCTTCTGCCACAGCTGGAAACCACTGCGCACAACCTTGTACTTCACAAATGCTCTTTTCTGGAGATTAAAGCGATACATTTTGGGGTTATTTATTTATTTATTTGCTCACAGTGTTTGGCTCGAAGCTCTGCAAACTTGGGTAAATGGAAAATTTATCAGGCTCAGTTAAAGTGGAATGGAAATACCCTCCCAAAAAGCGCTGGGTTTTTCTCCTAGGAGGGAAAAAAAAGGAGATTTATTTTTTTATTTTAATTTTTTTCCCCCCCAAGGTGCTCCTTTAACTTGTGTGGCTACTTTTGGCCCGATCAGAGGTGTCTGCTGCTCTGCTGTCGGCTGTGGATTTGCCCCGTTTGCCAGCCCCAGCATCCCCCGGCGTCCCCTCGGAGCGGATGTCAGCCAGAGCTGGAAGCGGTTCTCCATCAGATGCTAAGATAAATCAATCTGCTTCGAATCACTCAGGGTAAACTGATCAAAGCCAAAAGTAAAGCTCTGGTAATGAGGACAAAAGATGTAGTTTTCATTCATAACAATACTGAGCTCTCCAGAAAAGGAAAAATACCCTAGAGCGAATGCTGGCAACAAGTGGTCAGCATCACCTTCTACCTATTTTTTTTCCCATTTTTTCTTACAAACTGATGAGTACCCGGCTGTCAGCGCCGCTGCCTGCGTTCACTCTGACATCAGCCACCACCACTCCTGTCCCCGTGCTCGTGCAGGGACGCGAGTGGCACCGCGACAGCTCGTGCTCTTAGCGAGGTTAAAGAGATGTAGAATTGCTTTAGAAGGTATAAAACCTGCTTATAAATTAAAAAAAAAAAAAAAAAGAAAGAAATCTCTCATCCTAATTATAGGCCCTGGTAGATTCTGGTTAATATATATATATATATATATATATATTTTTTTTTTTTTAG